GTCATCTCCAAGGGCCTGGAGACCAGCGTCAGACTGTCTGGGTCACAATTCCAAGGGCTCAGGACTGCAGGTAATCCCAAGAGTCCAGGAAAGGTCAGAGATGTGTGAAAATTGTAGGCATCTCAATGTTTGTACTGACTGACAAAGAAGGATCTATGATTAAGACAGGCTCTGGCTGCTACGCTGAGAGCAAGTCCTTCCTTGAGGAAAGGACTATCCAGTGGCACAACTGGAAGATGGAAAGAGCAGGAGCTGAAGGGACAAACATCACACAGCAAGCACAAACTTTTTGGTTTACTGGAAGAGGAAAAGGATTTAGTAGCTAACCAAGTGAAACAGAGACATGCCATATACTTCTTGAACCTGTTCAAGCTTATATTAAAAAATAATAATCAAATTTTGGGGTAAAAAGCTCCCCAAAGCCTTTTCTCTGTCTTTACGGAAAATATTTACACCCAAGTAAAAGCCATCAGCAATGAACAGCAAAAAAAATAATTCTTTAAAGGAAGTTTCGTTTAGGAATGGGTTTAATTAAAAATAAAACAGTACCGTAAGATACTGCAAATTAACTGCCATTTGTTATATTTGTTTCCAAACTATTCTAAGCAGATGAATTTTGAAAAGTTTTCTCTGCAGCAATAATGGACCAAAGGCCCCAAGCAAGCTGAAATACCGACAGCTGTATTTTATAATAAAGATTCTGGTTCAATCACACACACATCAGAATATGAGTTATTCTTCTGTTCAGTTCTTCATTTCAAAACCTTTGACAGAAACTCGACTGACAGAGCTCCCCCAGCCAGATACGACCACAGAAGCTGAACATATCCTTGGGTCATGACACAGTTAGCAGCTACTGAATGTCCATAAATGCTTTAAGCGTCACATATGCAGGATGAGCTCTGTCAGAAACTCAGCACAAAGCACTCTTTAAACCATAAAAAAAAAAATCAAATTTGTAAAAAATACATCCTTTAAGAAATCTGCCTCTGAGGCTCCCTTTATTGCACTTGACCCAGCACAATGTGACAAAAGGGCTACCGTTCTTCCAAACGAACAGCCACCTTCCCATCCATGGCCAACCTGGCATGTCTTGTAACACTACAAAAAAGCCTTTGCTCTACTTTTTATCCTTTTAGATAATCTGAAATTCCAAAACCATCCCTTCAGCTGTTAGGCACGATAGACCAGGATCAAACGTCTCACTCATCAAAAGCTTGCTCTTCTAGCTCAAAATATGTTGCATTTGTACCATCTGCTGGGAAAGGGACAAGAAGAAATCTTGTGTCTTTGATCTACAAGCATCATGAGTTGTCGTCAAAATAGGAGGTCAGAGCGAACAACAGCTGTATGCCACTGCAAACCTCCCATCCTATCAGGCGCTCAAAATTACTGCTGCTCTTTGCTATCTTGTTTGCAAGAAGGATGATGAGCTCAGAAAACAGACTCCTGATGCCAACGATACCTGACAATGTGCCTTTCCAGTCTGCTTTTTCACAGGGCTACGGTGTGGCAGAGAAGTAGGCAAAACCCTGCTGAGCCCCTTGCTGACAGCCCCAGCACACTGTATGTACTGTACTTAAAGGGGAGCATTTGTTGCTAAATTTGTGATAGGTGAAAAAGCTGAAACTCACTCAGTGCTGCAGAGGCCTATGCTAAAAGCTGAACGGCATTAGCCTCCTCAAACTTCGCAGGATATCTGTGTAGCATCTCCGCATCTTCAAGGCAACACAGTCAGGACGAGGTGCCTTGTCCTCCAGCTCCTCTCTACAGAGCTCAAACAGAGCACCCTGAGCAGCAGAGAGCTTGAGGCCCTTACACAAGACCTTTCACCCTCTAGTGGCTGACCTGTTTGCCTGCACATAGACGTGGGTAACCTCTGGCCAGGTGGGTATACTCTACCACGTACAAAAAATATATATATATAATGTATAAAACCTGATATAGGAGTAGCGTAACACATTCTAAACAGAAGAGTTCCCATCTTACAGCTGCTCACTGCAACATAGGAGATAAACAAGAACACAAACCAGCAGATTTTTAATAGATTTTATTAAATTTATACACCAATTACATTGTATAGTTAGATACATCCCATTCTGCCTTGAGTGAAAACGTTCATTCCTATGAAAATATGGCTGAGAGAAGATTAAGCTTCTGGCTTCATAAATAGGTGAAACTGCAGCTTAAAAGAAATACAAATCTGCTAGACCACTTAAACCAAATAAGACGTTTTGGTCACCTACATTGCTTCAGGTTTTCATAATTTCCCCTCAGGAAAAGCCAGACAATGCTTACATCATTGCAATTTTGCCATAAGTAAAGGATTCAGACTCATCACAGCCACCTTCACCATCGTTCCCAGTGGATGATGGGGTGTTCTCTCAAGCTTTGTTCTTGACAGTCCCCACTTACATCGCTTTGCATCACCAAGAGGTCTCAGAGCGCGGAAACCACCTTGCTTCCCAAAGAAAACAGATCAGAACACTTGCTCCAGCTGCTATCAGGAAAACTCCACAAAGCAATCCAAGATCACAGCTTCCAAAACATACGCCAGATAGATGTCAGGTCTTCTTCATCCCCACTCCTTCTGGCTGCACTGTCCTGGCACTCGGCATTAAAGTGGATCAGGTGCTGTAACCCTCTGAGCAGATGCTCAGAACTAGCAGGTCCTTAGGCAATTGGTGAGTTTGCTTTTCAGTACACAACTTTGGAGAATGGTATTTACTGCAGCCCTTGTTACAGAGTAAGTTGCTTACGGCTTTCTGATTTTTCTTCCCAGACTAAGCACAACTGGAAAGTTCACAGATTCAAAATAAATTTTTTTCTGGACAATTACTTACATGTCTTGGTGGATGAGTGAGATAGTTGGGATTTGCAAGTCTAAAAATGTTACATTTCCAAGCTATAATGGAATTCAGTGGGAAGAAGAAATCATTATGCCCTTTGAAAACCCAAATCCAAAGTGCTTTGGGAACTGGAAATCCATGTCATCTTTTAATGATGCTTTTCCTCAGAAAGATCAAATTTTATTCACTGTCTCAGTAAGAAATTTGCTACCAGTAAGAAAAAAAAACCAAAAACATGTATACTTGTCATCTTTTTAAGCTTCTTCTACAAGCAATATACTTCAAAGCCGTTTTCTGCTTAAAGGTCTAAAATGAGATTGGGCTCAGAACTATGGAATCTGTCCGACACTTTTTACTCCCTATGTAGAAATGAAACCCCCATGTTTTGTTTCTGAAGCTCACAACATTCCACAGGAAAAGTTCCCTGATAAAAAAAAAAAATGTTTTAAGTGCCAGTTTTCCTCATGTACACAAGTACAGAACACACAACAGCTACAGACTCTTGTCTTTCATGCAGACCTTTTCTGGGCATCCAAATATTCCAGTACCTTTAGTGAGGCTCTAGACAAGCATGGTTCTCTGTAGTGGCCAGCAGCCAGCTCACAGGATGCATAATCAAAATACTGTGATGGATTGTTGTCCTGGTAGGCAGCATTTGCAGCAAGCTGCATAGCCCAGAGGGGATCCCCTGAAGCACCATTATGTCAGCTGACTCCTACTCAATTTCCACAACACTTTGATCTGCTGTCATCACTGAGGGCCTGTTCCCCCCAGATCTTCTAACTATAAGCATGCTAAAAGCCCGCTCTTTGCCTTTTCTAGCCCAGCATCTTGCTCCTGCCACGCTGGGCCAGCTCTGAGTGTTGGCAGCATGGCTGGTATCACCTTGCTGAGTTTTTTGTGTTCTGACCATACATGGAAAAGAGAGCAATTGAATGGCTCATTCTCTAGCAATGTGTTCTAGAAAGTGCTTGAGATCTACCTGGCAGATGGAAACATGGGCTCCTGAAAACACGGTCAGAGAGAATATAAAGTTTCTGCATTTGAGGTCTTGAGTTAGCTTTGGTCTGGCAGTGAGACACAGGCAATTCACTTCCTGACAAAAGAGGGAGGTCTTTACATAAGATTATTGGGTCAATCAGAAGTTCTGCCCTGCTCTGAAGGAGACAGGTATTTCAACCATAACACAAATGCTTTATTTTTTTTAGGATGCAGATGAAGATGCACATATTAAATGATAAAGACTTGAGAACAACATTCACAAGAAGTAAGCAGTTTGAGAAGGTTTTTTTATGGCAATGGTCATACTGAGATTGTTACAATCCTCCATCCTGCACTTTTATTCAGAACAATACAATCTGTAAAGTTAAAAATGGAAATTAATTCAGCCAAATACTCTGATGTGACAGACTGGTATGAACACTGAGTGGTTTTTAGTCTTAAGTCCAGCAATCACTCTCACTGCAAGCTCTGTGGTAGCGATATGAAGTGATAAGTCGGTTTGTTTAAAGAAGGTTGATAGAAACTGGTGTTTTCCACTGATTCCTTTTTCAGGACAACACAGCACAGAAAAAATCTCTATTCATCTAAGTAACAGTCCAATACGATATTAGGAACCAGGCCTTCTCTAAGTCATCTTCCATTCTTCATTAGAGTATGCTTGCTGGAATGATGCATGAAAAAGGTGAAGAATTCAGAAGCATGGCAGCCTTGGAGTCAGGAGGTGGATCGTAGCTGATCTACAGATAGGTGGAGTCTTGGGAGCACACAGGAAACAGGCAGGCCATGTTTTAGTTATAACTTGTCTTAGATGCTGGTAAATGATTGTTTGGGCTCAAACCCTTTGCCTGAGTATAAAAGTTGTGGTCAAGACACTTGGTCACAGAGGGAAGAGGGTCAGTACTTTGCATAGATGAAGGCAGTTGTCCCTTTGACAGAGCGCTTTCTGAACAAACAGCTGTCACATGGATCAAGTCCGTTCCTGTCTGGCTGTAGGTGAAACCAACTTCAAATCCTAGACTACTCCGAGCTTACTGGCATTTGATACATGACCACAAGCTAAACCAGCAACTGTTTAGAGGGTAACCACAGAGCCGAATGCGTCCGAGGAATAGCTGTACACAGCCCATAAAACTTAACCCGCTGCAGGTTTCAGATGCCTGTTTTGGAGTTGATCCAGTTTCGATAGTAAGTCACTCGCGTGTAAACTCCTGGTTTATTTACCTTGCCACACTCGTCTCCCCAGCTCACTATTCCCACAAGATACCAGATTCCTCTGGAGTTCGCATGCACCAGTGGCCCACCAGAGTCACCCTAAGGAGAAAAATATCAACAGGCAAGAACAGAGCAAACAGTGTTCACCTCACTAATGCAGCAAGCCTCAAATTGGTCTCTTACAACTGACAGACACTTGTATCTGGACCACAGATATAATTCAACCTCCACATGGTTAGTGACAAGACAGAGGCTGACTGACTATGCCTAATTCAATCTCTCTTGCTCCACACTCTCACATCTCTATTCTATTGCACGTGCATTATAAATAAACCCCAAGAACTTAAGTCCAGACTTCAGCCCACGAGCTGTGAAACTCTTAATTTACATCTTTGAAGATACTGAACCCAATAAACTTAATCAAGATGCCCCAAAATATGTTTTACTTCCAGGAAATGTCACCGCCCATCTCATCTATTTCTTTTTTAATATTAACTATGAAGAGACTTACCTGGCAGGCATCCACCTGCCCCTCCAAGTATCCAGCACATAACATTCCAGGTGTTATCGCTCCACCATATACTTGTCTTCTATTACAAGTCTCAGTACTTATAATTTTCACTTCTGCTTGTCGAAGTTCATTAACACTAGAGCCTAGAAGGAAAGAGGGCATTAGAATTTGCAGACAGAGTGTACAACATAAAACACTCAAAGATTAGGAGTAGCCAGATTTTCCTATAGCTTTTCTGCCATTACAGGCAATGAAGGGAGCTACCCAGACAATCTCTCAGGAAGAAGCAAGGTGTTCATTTTCACTCTAAAGTCCTTCACTTGTTCCTAAACATAACCCTTCTCCATCTGTCATCATCACCAAATGCTCTTTAGCGTAATGGACAGATAGATTTTTGTACATGTTTCAATGCTGAACTCAGCTGCAGGCTACAAGGTACATCCCTGAAAACATTGGAAAAGACCTATCTGGTTAACGGTAATGTAGCTCTGGACAATCACTACACACCCCAAGGGTCTACCATGAAACACAACCTACACAGTTCAAAGGCTCCAGTAAGCATATTTATAGTCCCCTCATCTCTAATGTCATTGACATGGACTAATTTGAATGAAGCTCACTCAAGTCATTGGATGAAGCTTGATTTATGAATGAAGAAAGAATAATTGATGAAAATTGTCATGATATATCTATGACAAAGCTGAATGATGGAAGAACAACTGATGTCGGAGCTAAACCCAGAGGGAATGAGGCAGTGGGAATGGAGACCATAATGTATTTAACCAGCACAATGCATGTAGCCACAAAAAAACCCTTACTCTTACTCCTGTAAGACAAACCTGTAGGGTCTTTTTCCCATTTCCAATCGACTGACCAAATCAGAGAAAAACCCCAAACTAAGTCCACAAGTGTATCACTAGCACATCCACTTATCAAGTCTAATGAACCAAAATAAACAACAAAAAAACCACCCAACTATAAAACTAACAGCAGTCTTCTCAGATACACGTGTGACAAGGCACAGGAGAGTAAGAGACACTCACCATCATTCTTCAAAGCTCCCCAACCTGTGACAAAGCAGGAGGAGTTGTCTGGGAAAACGTGAGATGCTTCAGGAAGACAGACACTGTGCACATCGCTCGTGAACTCAATAGGAGAGGCAAGTTCCACAACAGCCACATCATAGTCATGAGCAAGGACAAAGTCACTATATCTTTCATGAACAATAATTCTTCGGACTAATTTTTTCTGTTTTGGAGGTCTCAGTAGAATTCCAAAGCTGGCAGTCCACCTCCGAGGATCTTTTCGGCTGTAAGATATTTGTGGTTATGTCACAGTCGCACAAAACAAGATCCCCAAAGGAGCTTAGCTCTCCATTTAAGCATCAAAACACAATGTGGCCAGGTCTGCCTAAGAGACAGAGAAGAGCCAAACTTCATTTTCTCTCAGCAGATACAGATGTTAGTGGATGACGAAAGGTCAGAGCGCCCAAGAATCCTAAGGCCTGTAGGATCAGAAATATGCTGATGACTTACTCTCTAAAGCAGTGGGCTGCAGTCAGTAGCCACGTATGACTGATCACTGTTGCACCACAGCGATGGGACCCATCAAACTGAATACTAGCCTGCCACGGCCATTCCCCATCCTGCGCACGCTGCCCATCAAGTATCCTCTCCACTCCTGTGAAGGAGAATGTCTGTTTTCTTATTCCACAGCCTGTCAAAGAAAAGACAGCTCCACTTTAGTTGACAAAGGGAAATCAGGGTGTTGCTGTGGGAAAGGCCCTCATGGCTTCAGGCACAGGTGGAAGAGGGCAGAGGTTTCATAAAACAGCCTTCACCTAAAGCAGTGCTTCCAATAACTGGGAAACCAAGCGTCATGATCACAGGCATCTCAGGACAGATGTGGGGTAAACAAAGTAGCTTGGTAGAAGAGTCACTACTTATTCATTTAGCCACTTTTCAGACACACAAGCCCCTATGTACTCCTATGGGAGCCAAAGGCTCCATAGCGGAGACACTGTCTATTTTCCTCAGTTTTAACTGATTACCTAGTTAAGAAAAACATTGCCTCTATAAACCTTGCTTTGTTTGGTATTTTACCAAAGCTGTACAGAGGGAAATACATAGCCATTAGTGTGTTTGCACACACACAGATTATTAGCACAAGGACAGGCACTGATAATTAACATAAGCATTTGGTTTACTTTCATATAGCTTTCATAAACTGGCATGGAAGTTTCGTCTACAGATTAAGCTTCTCTTGGTACACTGTATGAAAAAATAAATAAATAGGAGAACATCCTTAGTTTGTTGGGTTTTTTTAAAAAAAAGACTTGGAAATTATGAAAATACTGAGGAACCCCCACACAAACTGCAATCACATCAGAGGAGCTCTAAGCTGTAACACACACATCGCCACCAAAACATGCACAAGACAGACACTGCACATCACTTGTGAACTCAGTGGAGGCAATCTCTTCCCATCATGTTTAGCATCCTACCTGTATAGCAAAGGCAAGATCAACATAGTCAGTTAAGTGCTGCAGAATTGCAGAAGAGTAGTTAGCAAAAAACACCACAAAACCAAACCAAAAACCTATTCACGAACTAAATAAACAAAAAAATGATTTTGTCAAGTCACCGCCAGGTCAGCCTTGACAACAGCAACAAAAAACAATAGCTTTCTCTTCCTCCAATTGTTTACTTATAGCCACTGTACCAACAACACAGTCACACATTACTCAGCCAAAAAAAGCTAGATCCAAACTGCTTAATTCTCAGAGTCCATGTAAAGATGGAAATCTAATGTGCAAAGTCTCTGAGACAACGCGGAGGAGCGATGCAGTGCCCTGGGAGGGAAGTGATGCTGTCTCCCTGTTTCCAGAGGAGCTTTAGGACCTCGCAGGCAGAGCACAGAACAGGAGGTGAATTGAGAACCTGCTTCTCTCCAGGGCTGTGCCACAGCCTGTCACTGCACACAGCTCTTCTCTCTCTCCCACCCCCTGGCCTTTCCCTGCATATTGCAAGGTTTAGCTCAAATCTGACAGACATCTATTGCCAAAACTTTCTGCAGGGAGGAGGGCTCAGTAGGGAAAATCTTTCTGGAAGGACTCCAGCAAGAATCTTGGCCCTGCAGTCCTTGCTCACTAACAGCAGCTCATTTATATGCCCCTACTTCCCAAAAGCAACATAAAGCAAGTGCTTCTCACCACCAAGTCAGAACATCCAATTCTGCAAATCCCTGAGAGCCAGCCTGGCTGCAAGAAAACGAGCTGAAGTCTTTCCTGACTCATGCAGTTTACTGCTCTAGTACCTTTAACAAGCTATTTTTTCTACTTGCATCTCAAAAGCATAAGAACTTTGTAAACACAGAACCCATAGCACCATGTCCTTGGACCTTTGCTATAAAGCATTTGTACTTACAGTTGTTCAAAAGGTTATCTCCCTTTTCCTTATTCAACTCTGAAATAAAAAGCAAACACCACAGTGAGTATATCTCATACTGCTAAGCGATCTAGCACAGACTCCGTCCCTGTACCAAGCAAACACAAATCAAACGGCCTGCATTGCTGCCTGGAGTGACAGTACAGTAAAGGGAGTAATTTACTCTGTTGGAAGAGTTCAATTAAGCCTCTGTTCCTCACTGAAAGCATCAGGCCAAATGACACATCTTTTTTGTTTTAGCTCAAAGCTAACAAAAGCAGCAGATGACTAGAAACAGGCCCAAGTAACATGTATGTGTGCTGGTGGCTGTGCACAATAAAAGCACCTACGCACATTTTTTCAGGTTCAGTATGGCCAGGTGGTCAAAACAGTCTTCACAAATCTTCAGTGCTGGGATTGACAGGAGCTAAACTGAAGCGTTAACTGCTTTCTTTCCTACAAAAAACTGCCAGATTCTAATGGTAACCAGTGACAGTTTCATGGGAGAGCACTACTGGCCCGGAAACCTCAGGGTTTTGTTACGAACACTTGCTACAGCAATCTGTCAAATAAGCAAAGGAAATGGCAGGGGGTGAAGTGAACCATCTCAGCCTTGCCTTTTTTTTTTTTAATAGCCTGCATTTCCACACCTGGTGATACAGGATCTTGTCCAATTCACTCTGTGTCTTAAAGCAATCTGTGAACCCATGGTCACAAAGTTGGGGCCTTCCTTGATGAAATGTAGGGGCATGGGACTATCCCATTCAACAGTGCCAGGTCACACAGAGAGAGCCTCTGATGCACAGAGAAGAATTCATGCTCATAAACCAGCGGCAGTCTGCTTTAGTTCTCTTCATGCTACTTCTTCCAAGTTCTCAGGCTGTCAGCCATAACACAGAAATTTGAGAAGGCAAAAGAAAGAAACAAAAATAGCCCATATTTGCATACTAAAATGAAACTCATTACACTAAGAACAGCAAGTATGAGGAACAAATTTCAAGTTAAACACACAAACCTAAGGCACTTGCCTGTGAGTGTAAGGGTAGACTGGTCAACATTCAAGATCGTGGAGTTTGTTTTTAGCCTGTTGCGTAACACACGGTTCACATGACTCCAGCTAATTTCTTTACTGTCAGCGGAGGGAAATTTAAATACCAGAACAGCAGATGCAAGCACTCCACCTGGATGTGGGCTGTAAATCAACAAAATCAAAGTGCTGTCATTGTCTCTCTGCCCACTAACTCTCTTTGTTCCGCTTTGCACTGTCTCCCTTTTTTATACAAGAACAGGTCTGGTCTGCACAGATGCATGGAAGAAATAGCAGGTAAAGGGAGATGATGACATGACAACAGGCAGCAACGATCACAGGGAATTTTCTGTGAACTGTTACAAGCAGTACAGCTAAGAAGGAGAGAAGGGATCACTCCCTTTGGCCTCCACACAGCTTGTAGTCAGACGGACACTGACAGCAATAGGAACAATACAGCAAGCTAAAACCCTTCAACAGATACCCTTCAGCAGGCCATCTCTAACAGTCATTCAAAAGACCCATTTTAGAGCTGCAGAAGTTACAAACTCTTTCGGCATTTCTTGGCATTTAAGTCACTTGCTTTTTAGGCCACTTGGCCAGTTAGCTCCATTGTATCTAGAGACAAAAATCTTTATAGTCTGAGTTATCAGAGCAACGCCTCACTAACTGTCAGTACAAAATATTTGGCCCAGTATTTTATATATATTTCTAACAACGAAAACCAACTGAAGTCCAGAGAGAAAGAGAGCAGAGATGCAGCTGGGCTAGTCCACTGCCTAGCTGCACAACAAGGTATCTGTAGTGAAAACAAGCCTGGAAGAGATACACTGTTTGGTCAACCATTTTTCTAACCAATCCAGTTACTGCATCACAGCCACGAGCAACTGGTGTTCAGGTAGTCAATCTGCAGAAATAACAGGCAAAATTCCTCTTCCTGACCTCTGAAAGTAACTGAGTCCTCACTGTGAGCACCAAAGGAGAGCAACTACGAGCCAAGACTTAGTCATCCTGCTGGTGTAGTTCAAGCATAAACAACCAGGCATGCTCCATATGGTCAAGCGGTAGGCAGAAAGGATATTTTTCATATCACTGCTTATTCCTGACCTTCGCATTACTTACCTTAGACTGACAACATGGGACCTGATGTATCTTCTACTTAGAAAGGATCCCTTGAATACTGAAGATATCTGTTAAAGGAAAAGAGTGTTAAAATATGTACATGCTCTCAAGATATGCCTCCTGAGCCCCCAAAACACAAGAAAATGCCTTCAGATCTCTACCTCTTCACCATAAGAGGATGCAGAATCAAAATAAATAGCTGAAATTAAGTAAGTGCCCATAAATAAGCGGCCGGTTCTGCAATCCCTTCTGCTCTGTGGGTGTCTGTTCCACCACAGAGCTGCTGGAACAGACAGCACCTGTGCTCACCATCTGCTTGTGCAGAGTCAGTGACACATCTATAACACACTACAGCAAGGTCTGAAAGGTAAGGCCAGCTGCATAAGGATGAAGCACAATCAGCTCTGACTGTTTTCAACCACACAATCACAGGACTCTTCACCATAGGTCAGGAAGAAAGAGAGAAAAGAGCTTACCATGGTTTCAATCTCTTGGCTCAGGTGTCTGAATTCTTCTGTGGTTTGCCTTTGATACTGAGGGTTGTACTTCACATTGGTGATTAGGAAAGATGCATTGTAGTATCTGTCCTGATCTACAGAGGAGTAGAAAAAGGAAAGGTGGCTGATCTCCTTCAGTACAATTCAGATGTACACAGTACCTCACAGAGCATGCCACAAGTAAGGCTCCTGGGCTCTGGCTGTGACCCTGTCAGATACGGAATTACAGCTGTAGCAGCACTTTGGGAAAAGGGGGCTCTGGACCATCTTGTTGCTCCATGGACCAGTGAGAGGCTAATTTCCAATTTGAGGACCAGCCCAAGCAGCTCTAAATGACATCCAGTACAACATTTCTCTGCAGACCATCTTCTCATCAGCCTGAGACGAGCCCGGCACAAGACACACTAGCCCACATACGTCCCTTCTGAATCAGCAGACGCATTTACTCCTCCCTCGCTGCACTCTGGCACATCCCTGCGAGGCAGGTGGCCCAGAGCTGTTTACATCCACTCAACAGTCAGGTGATGTTTAACATCTGGCTCTCACATAAATAGCAGAGAGGGGCCCAATAATGCAGGATTCACAAAAGCAAAGCTAAGCTGTAGCTCTGCCAGTGCTCTCTCCAGTGTCCTAATGCAAGCCACGGCCTCGTCGATTCTCAGTGAGCTGAAACAACAAAAAGATTAGCTCCATCTCAAAGCATCTCAAAACTCCTCAATACTGGTATCTCAGCAACTGGAATGGCTTGGCTTCATTGCCCTTGGCAACCAGGACTGACTCCTGGGCTCCAAAAAATCCCAAATCTCTTTCTGAAATATCCTCAGCCAGAAGAGCCAGATTCAGTTTCTGCAAAAACCCTGTTCAAGACCCAGTTTACTATGCATAGTTTGAGTACCAGACATACCCCTGGCTTACACAGAAGACTGCTAGCCTTTGGTTAACCATGGATACCAGTGGAGGCACCAGGACAAGACAAGAAACAAGGAGGACAAAAGAAGGACAAAACTTAAATCCTTGCCTCAAGTAAATGACATTTTAAGTATTCTTGCAGATTTTCCAAGCAATTCAGATCTTGAATAGGGTCTAAAAGTTTTCACATGCAGATTCTATACCGGAGTGAATAGTATACCTAAATCATCAGGAAAGACCACAGTAGGAAGTGAAACACAACTGACTGCTGAAGATCTGCGACAACACAGGAGTGTGGTGCACTTACCACTGCACAAAAAATACGTAAGCAAGCCAATGATGAGGGCTAAGGCTACTATCATCGACACAACGATGATCGCTATCTTCCATGGCTCTAGACGTTTCGTTGCTCTGTCCATCTGGATCACAATCTGCATTGAAGAAAACAACATGGAGAAAGTCAATGCTATTACAGAGATAAGAGTGCACCATGAGCCAAATCATATCCGGCACAGAGCTAAAGAAGAGTCCAGGAAGACCCTCCTGCTGAGACATAAAGTTCAGACTGGACCCCTTTGCTTTCTAAACTTTTTCACGGAGAGGAGTCTAGATGTGGCTGGATCCAGTCTTAGCCCCTGACTCTTCTAGGTTCTGCCTCAGAGTCCATTTATTTCAGCTCAAGCTGGGACCCTCCAAGAGGGACCCTGAACCAATTCCCTTGGCAGTTATACCCTTGTAATCTAAGTTGACCTCCTCTCATGCGATGGTTCAGTCCAACAGTTCGGGTCTGCAGTCTTCTTGTTCCTCACCGGATCCTTTTTCTCCTCCAAGTGGGCATTCTTCTCTCATCTCGAGGATGCAATTTCTGTTGATCTTATCTTTCTAATTAGCATTGGTTTCCAGGCCTTTCTTAAGCCTAAGCTCAGCAGTACTCAGGTAGAATTCTACAATCTGTGACCTAAGGCTTCAGTAACATCTGGCTACTCGTGCTAAGACAAGTTTCAATCCATCATAATTTTAAGCAATCCCACGATTAATTCTAATATTCTACAAGTAAACCGCTTTAATCTCTGAAGATACAGCTTAGCTCAGCTGACAAACATCACAGAATGAGCTAGTTTAGGAAAGACCTCTGGACCCTACAGGTCTTCTGCTCAAACCACGTCCCAATACAGCAGGTTGCTTCAGGCTTTGTCCAGTCATAGTTTTGGTATCTCCAAGGCCAGAGATCTTTCCAGGCTCTCAGGTATCATGGTCCAGTCTCTGACCACCCTCACGGGCAAAAGCTTTTTCTTTATATTTAAGTCAGAATGTCCTGTGTTCTAACTTGCACCCCTGCAACCCATGACACCTCACATGCACCCCTGAGAAAAACCTTGTGCAGGTATTTCTAATAGAGACAATTCCCCATCAAGAAATATTACACAGATTTCAAGTGCAGCTAACTGTCCACACAGGTGCTTAAACTGACATAAAGGTAATATTTCACGACTGACCAAACATCAAGGATACTCTAAGCTACCAAAGACTCCATATAACATACAGCTTTGGGTTATTTGCAGTTGGTATGAGTAGTAATATTTATTGATCTCTTACAGGGTTTGAGTTTTGTTTCACCAAAACCACACATATAAGAGACCACATCCTGTCTCCTGCCAGACAGTCTATCAGAGGGGAGGGAAATAGCGACTTGTGTAAATGTGACATGGCAACTGAAAGCCAACAGCAGACCTGTAAACAGGTTAGGAACTTAATTCACACATGGACAAAGGCAATAAGCCTTTCTCTTCCACTTACATCCTCCTGTGCAGCATTAAGCAAGAGAATATTAGGAAAACTGCATTTCTGAGTATGTCCTCAATAGCTTTGTTGTAGGATGATGTAAAGTCTTAAGCACAATTATTTCAGATCCCCAGTAATTCCACAGCACACTGTGTATTAATTGTTGTCATGTCACGTGCTGAGCCTCTACATCACAGTCACCATTAGTACAAGGTATCAGAAAAACATGTGGGATAATCTCTCAAAGGTGCCTGGAGTGACAAACGGCAGCAGTCAGCTCTGGGGAGGAGGGATTCAGCTGGTGAATGACCGTGTTGTTTTACACCCACTGATCCATGTTTGGATTGTTGTGGACCAGACATTAAATGCTATTTTCCGCTTTCCAGGCCTATGGCACAACCATTTCTAAGCAACATGTGAGAAAATAGAGGCAGGAAGGGCCAGAAGGGCAGGCAGAGAGAGTAAGCCTTTGCAGAGTTTTTGACTACAGGGTGGCAAAGAAAAAAATCACAGTGAAAGCAGAGCAGGATAGCAGCAGAGGCTCCATCTTAGACAATGAGCTAAGAGGGTAGATGAGCAGTGAAGATGAGGAAATGATGCACAAATGCAAGACAGAAAAAGACAGTGAAGTGGTGGGAGAGCACTCTGAGGGCAAGAAAGCTGAGCAAAACTGCAAGGAAGAGAGAGTAAACAGGGCAAACCAGGAAAAGAAAAAATAGAGCCACAGAGGAAGCAACTGAGAGGTCTGCATGCAGTGAGGGTGTGCTCAGCAAGCAACAGGGAAGTTGGAAGCAACTCAGAGTTTAGTTTCCTCACATACAGGCTTGGATGTGGCTAGTGAGAGTGCTGGCAGGTATCTCAGTCCACTGTTAAAAAGTAGGCAAGTTTTTACCCACTTAGACAGGTAGCATACTGGAAAGAAAAAGTTAAACATGTTAGCTTTAGCCAGCACCACGACTGCAGGTGGTCACAAGCAGCAGCTTAATGTTACCAGAGTACACAGGACAGGTGACCAGGATCAAGCCTTCTGCTTCAGAGCTACATGCTACGGAGAAGTCTAGTACCTCTCCTTCTGTTGTGCCTGCTTTATTGGGACACAGTTATGTTCTGGCAACTCGCAGTCCAAGTTCTCCCCAAATCTAGTTGTCTTCCCACTAGACAGGCTCAGTTCTCTGAAAGAAAGGCTCTGCAAAACAGAAGCAACAGTACTCTTGTTTCATAACTGCCAGCTTGCTTTAACTGTGTACAGACAGATTTCCTCAACACATGGCCTTATGCCTAAGATACAAAAGCTTAAGACCCACATTTGAGAAATGAGCGTCTCTCTGCCTGTGGCACTCATGCTCTGACAGGCAGCACTGTCCTCCATTTCAATCTGTCTTTATTTCCTTCTTGTGCAAATATCAGCTACATCGACACACACTGTCAGAACCCCTTTTCCTCCAACATTTCAGAACTGCTTCCTCTTCATGGGTCACACAGACTTGCAAGGGGAAACAGGTATCTTAGGAACTGCTGCAGTGCTGGGCAAAATTGAAATATGGGAGATGAATAACAAAGACCTCCCCCAGGCCTGAAAAATATTTCAAGTAAAACCAGTGTAAGAAAACAGTTTAAAGGAAGCACTTCTATATATCTCTATATTCATATAGGTAATTAATTTGCATATAAGATTTACAAATCTAAGTATAAATACTTCTTTAAACCCAAAACCAGCCTTCTCCCTTTAGCAGGATGCTCTTGACTTCCATCTTGCCAGGGTAAGTACCAGAACAGGAAAAATCTCTCTTGCAATGGAAGCATCGGGTCTCATCACCTCCCACAGTGGACAATTGCCAGCATGTACCCCTCGACTGCGATGTCTGAGTGCAAGATGCAGCTCAGCAGCCCCTGTTTGGTTTTGTGTGTGTCTATTTTATCAGCAGACATGCTAGTCACCAGTTATGCAGAAAGGTTAGGAAAGAAAAGCTCTCCTGTTTTCAGCTTTTTAGGAAATACCTCATCTTTTGCCACCCGTTTCAGAAATCAGCATGAATACAGGGTCTTGACTGGCCCAAAATTAACTATCCTTTAATCTTGGAAGAATAGCTCTAGGGCAGGCAACACCAAATGTGTACTGCTTGTACTAGAGCAGCATGTATTTCCAGCAGTGCTCAGGAGTTCTAGCCTTTGACACTGCCGTGCTAGGGTCTGTGTTCACAAAACAAAACACACTCACAGTTAGGTCTGGTTTTAAGCCTACCTAAATTTAGTGAGAGCTACTAGGATGTTTAGTGAAAGACAGTTCTTGTTTGTTCTGTCCTCAATGTGTTCAGTCATTAATCACATGTTATATGTCTGACTAGCTCCTTCCCCCTCTAGTCGTTCTGCTGTCATGTCACGGAGGGCAGGATTGTCACGTTCTACCCAAATAACCACCTGACAGGGATTGCTGTGCCTGGGACATCCATCTCTGCAGTTACGTAGCTCAGTGGCAGGTCGAGGCTCCTGTTTAGGAATCAGACTTCTGCATGGTCTTCTCTGCACTCCAGCAATGAAGAAAACTCTGCTCCACCCAGTGACACTCACTGGCCAGAGAAACACTGATCCTTTGCAGTGCCGATGAATGCAGAGACAGAGATGATCTCATCACCTCCAATCACAGATGCATCTTCTCTTTTCCCTTGTAGCAAAGCGGCACTGCTTAAGAGATAAGTGTTCTCCTCAGAAGACCCCCAATACCACAACTCTCTGTGTAGACACCTTCCAGAGTGGGGTGTTTTGTGCAGCCTCGTATTTCTTGCTTTCTTACACCACATGCTTTGATTTAGTTTTTATTTTAATGCCCAAACTCCAGTAAGCTGCAAATTAATTCCCATAGGGGCAGAGAGGGGAATTCAGGTAACACCAGTGCATTCATCCTCCAGCCTGCATGAGGATAACTTTCATTCCTCATGTACAAACCTTAACAAGAGGTCAGAAGCCAGATTCCACCTGGAAATCTCAAAGGTCAAGTCCTCTGCGCTCTGAAACCCACCTCCTCACAATATGTGCCTGACAGTTTTCAGTCCACAGTGAATTGGCGAGAAGTTTCAAACCCAAGATCTTTCAGTTCAGTACAAAATTGCTTATCTTGACAATACTATGGATGGACATCAGACCTCCTCCAGCAATCCCTGTTCTCATTTAAAACCTGTTTCGTCCTCAAGGAGCCCAAGATCATCCATGGAGACAGGAGCATCTGACAATTTCATATCACAGCTCATTTGCGTTTGGAAATGCAAGCTATTAAGTCCCCTAGTTTGCAAACTTCGGATCTGAGCCAAAATATGTGTTTTGATCACCATAAAGTTATTCTATACTGAAAAAAAAATCATCTGCATGAACTATTTTGGAAATAGTAATGTTTATATAGAAGTTATTTTAAACACAGTAAAGTGGTGTTGAGAGAGAGAGAGAGAGAGAGAGAGAGAGACTGAATCCAGCCTTGATACAGAATATTTTAATAAATACTGCAAGAAATAAAGCTATGTTCACAGTTACTGGCACATTACGCAGAAGAGTCGTACTGAAACTTTACAGAGCTAAAATTGTCTGGGGAAACCAAGGACAGAACAGAGAGGATTTCAGGTTGGATTTGTAATAAATCCTGAATTAATTCTTTACCTTCCAATCTGGAGCATTTTCCAAAAGCAAAAAAACAACCACAATACAAAGGTGACAATCTGTTTTTCCTCTCTCATCCTGTACCAAACTCCTGTGAAGGTTACTGTGCTCATTCGCAATGGAAGTGATGAAAGTTCAGCTCCCATCTCTGGCTGACAGGATTTGCTTTGCTATATTGAGCTCATCCATCTCTTCCAGTTGAGCTACTCTGTGTTATCAAAAGCCTCAGTAAGAATAATACCAGAAAACTGTTCAGAAAATGTCTGTTCAAAAAAAAAAAAGAAGGAAGTGTAACTATCATCCATGTCCTAAGAAAATGCCCTAGTCACCGAGCTGCTGGATAAGGAGAGAACAGTTACTTGTTCTGTTTTAAACATCTGCCCCTGACATTTTTTGACTTAAGCCCTCATAGCACCTCAATCTAGACTTCCTTTTAGGTGAATCTAAACCATGTTTTCTGGCAGCAGCTGTTTTGCCATGCTCCACAGAGAAAATATGCAACCTCTTCCATTTCATCTACTGCTGTCTTCCTATATAAAATTTATTATTGCATTTTTATTTGTGTCCAGTTTTGGGCTTCCTAATTCAAGAGAGACAGGGACCTACTGGAGAGAGTCCAACAGAGAGCTATGAGGATGGTTAAGGGACTTGAACATCTCTCCTATGAAGAGAGACTGAGAGAACTGAGGCTGTATAGCCTTAAAAGGAGACAGCTGAGAAGGGGCCTTACTAACGTATTCAAATATCCAAAGGGTGGGCGTCAAGAGGAAGCAGACCAGTTTCTTTTCAGTGGTGCCCAGCAATAGAACAAGAAATAACAGGTTTAAGTTAGAACATAGGAAGTTTCACCTCAACATGAGGAGAAACTTCTTTACTGTGAGGGTGACAGAGCACTGGCACAGGCTGCCCAGAGAGGTTGTGAAGTCTCTATCTCTGGAGACTTTCAAAACCCGCCTGGACGGGTTCCTGTGTGGCTGCCCTAGGGGATCCTGCTCTGGCAGGGAGGTTGGACTAGATGATCTCTGGAGGTCCCTTCCAACCCATAACATTCTATGATTCTATTGTATCCCTGTTCACTGGTATTCCAAATACACTCAGAAGAGCCAGTGGCAGAGCTTGAGTGGCACATCTGCTGATGAGGGTATCTCTGGAGACATTTAAAACCCACTTGGATGCATTCCTGTGCAATCTACTGTAGGCGATCCTGCTCTGGCAGGGGGGTTGGACTAGATGATCTTTCAAGGTCCCTTCCAACCCCTGACATTCTGTGATTCTGTGATTCTCCATGCTTATAGCCATGACCAGGTCTTTTATTCAAAGATGGACTCAGGCACATTCCTAACAATCACAACTCCTAGAAATAGGACCTTTCACAAGACAACTGAACAGACTAATCTGCTGGCCTAGTGAGCACAGTTTAAAAACCAAGACGAGGTCCCTGAAGCTATCTACCTTGGCAGGGTGGCTGGGAATCGCAGCAACTGAAATGCACGTGGCTTAGTCCAGGAGTCCTGTAGAAAAGCACAGGGCCATGAAGCAAGATATGCTAATTCCACTCCCACCTTTGCCACAAGCAATCACACCAACCTAGTGCTTCTCCTCTGCTGTTGTGGCACACTCAGGAGACACACTTCTAAGAGAACGGGACAACAACCTCTATTACTTTGGGCACTGAAGCAGCTACTGCATGCCTAAGTACTGCACAACCCTTGTTTGGATGAGGCCAGTTACCTACCAGCCTCAATCACTCAATGTTTGGTGTCTCTCAAAGCAATTTTGATACAATGGAATACTTCCAAGCACTGAAGGGATCTGCTGAGGGAAACAAAATGTGTGTGCTCTTCTATGCGTCACGCTGAATCAGCTTGATCTCCCCACACCCTGGAACATCCCACAAAAACAGTAGGTGCTGCATGCCACCCCTCTGCAGTCAGATAAAGCATCACTAATGTATTTGCCACTTAATAATTAAGCTCCTCCCCTTAACCATCTAATTCTACCAAGGTCTTGCTGCTTCCCAGAAGCACACTTCAGCCAGATAAATCCAACAGCTCCAAGTAGTGTTCCTGTCGATTCCATCAAGATTCAAGTGCAGCATTCAGTCTTTGGGATGCATGAACTCCGAGCTTACCAGTAACTACATCCATGATGACAAAATGTTGCTCATACAGACTTCCCAGATTATTTGACCACCTTTGCAATCAGCACAAAAGGCTGCTTGTTCCTTACTCTCATCCATTTTGCATACAGCTTTTTGGAGATTACGACCTCTTTCATGTCATAATAGAGGTGGCCTTTCGTACTACTACAACAGGCTGTAGGACATAACTGTAATGCTGGCAACTGAAATATTATTGATCTATAACGCATCTTCCTATGGTCGCCTGGCCCAGTCAACATCCTGAGAAAGACTCCCATGTTCCGAAATAAGCTTTAGTAGAACTAAGAAGGCTGGTCGCTACATAAGGCCTTTACTATTTGCATGAACGTGTGAGAGACCATTCTATGGTAAGGAAGTATCAAGTACATGGCCACTGATTGCAGTCAGTTTAAAATAAGGTTCTGCATCATCTTTACCTCTCAGATTTCCACTTCCAGCTGCACTGGTCCAAGACAAGTATCTTATTCTGTTAGTTCAGCAGTCCCAGAAACATAGGAGTAGGTCTCTGCCATTCAGCCTTTGAAAATAGCTCTGCCTGCCTCCCTTTGTCCTTCTTTCACTGTTTCTGCTTCAGAAGTGACACACCAAACAAGCAATTACAGTCTTTGTGGGTTTTCAGTTTGATTTTCATTCCAAGGCAGGGTGGGTGAAACAGTCTGCTGCCAGTTTTGGTGCATTTCCAAGCTGATTCTGCATGGATTAACACTTCACTGGCTGCATACAAAGGCCAAGAAAATTAACAAGAGCACAAGAACCTACTTTTACCTACTTTACTCGTCTCAACTTCTTGTACAACGCTATTAATTCAGCGGTTGTGACTGTAACACATTTTAACTGCACTAGCATAAACAGCAGATCAGAGTCAGATCAGATGACTCTCACCTACTCTCCTGCCGCAATATTTGGTGACCATAGGTCACCTTGATTTGTCACTGTACCATGCTGTAGAGGAGTTGGGGAGTTCTTGGAAGACAAATATATTTTGGGTGAGGAGAAAGGCTGAAATATCAAAGGGATATGGCAGGGGGGTGAAACTAGGTGATCTTTAAAGCACCTTCCAAGCCAAACCATTCTATGAGTACTGGTGCACGGAAGGCAGGTCAAATCAGAAACAAGCTCGGAGCTAATGCCACTGTCCCCACGCCCTCGGTCAGAGCTCAAACTGCCCTATAAAGCTGCGGGTGATATAGCCATGCTGCCCAAACCACCAAGAAGTAAGTTAGAAAGCTGTGGCACTCACCTGTGGGTACTACTGAGAGGCCAGCAAGAAGCTCTTCTGTCTGGGAGATGCACTGTCCCAAACGCCACAACGCACTATGCAGAATCTCACCATAGACTTGAGGCTTTATCTCCTGAATTAGAAAAGGAAGGAGTCATAGGTAAGTCAGAACAAACAAGTCCAGCAAGTCTCAGTGACAGCGGCTTGCATACCCAGTAGTATGATTCCTCCCCTAAAACAATAACAATACACTTCTTTCATCACACCTTTCATCCAGGAATCCTGAAGCCTTTTCAGAGCATTAACTACACCCTGCAACACCCCAAGTCAGAAGAGCCATGAAAATTTTGCAAGGGCGCAGAGTTTATTTCCTTCTTTGGTATAATTAAAAACAAATCAGAAATTAGGGGCAGGACCAATGCAGAAGGTATGCTCTAGAGAGACAATGTTCAGTCCCAGACCAGATACAGGGGTGACACAAATTCACATAGACTCAGTGGCATGTGCCTCAACTCCCTTGAATTTCCTTAAAATCGGTCATTTGGCCAGGCAAGAGCTTGTCCCCATAACAACAGCTGCATTCAAGTTTGTAATTTTTTAACTCCTTAGAAGTTAGTTTTAATTGTGGCCGTCTAGTCACACACACATTTCTGCCCTGGAAAAACTCTTCTAGATCATAAACAGTTGTGATACATATATATTTGCAGGCTGAATAGATAAGTGTTTCTACTTGTGCTAATAACAGTAAATTAACTGGCAAGTCAATTAATACAAGTACAAACTCTACCCAAAAGTAACATTTTTTTCTTGGGAACTGTTTTTTCAACTTCCTTACTTCCACTAAACTTGCTAGAAGGTATACATGCCCACATAGCCTTACACACAGATTTGTTTTGGAAGGCAAATAAAGGAGACTACAAATAAAGGAACACTACAACAAAATCAGTGTGTGGCTCACATCTGCTTTGCTGCAATAAAGTTTCTAACATCTAGGGACTCTTTGCTTCCACCTTAATGACCTCCATTTGACCCCTCTGCAGCTCAGGGATCACCAGCTTAGTAATACACTCATGCAAATACCTCTTATATGTCTGAAGCTATTCCTTCCACCTTATACCAAATCCATAGCCAAGTCACCGGAAGACTGTCTTTCTGGGAAGGTCATCTTCTTTGGAATGAAACACAGGCTCAGCTTCTGATAATTTGGATTCAGTCAATGTCTCAGCATGATTTGTTACGAAACACAATGAATACAGTTGCTAATGATGCACAGAGTGTAACTGCTTCTCAGTGCTTTAACCAAAAGCTGTATTGCCCTCCCATACAGGAACACTCGTATTGAGTCAGTCCAGATGTGCAAGGGAAATGTACTTGGAAGCCTAGCTAGAGGGTGACAATTTCCAAGGGTAAAGTTTAAAGTGTCATATGATTACCTGACCTGTGTGTAGGTGGTGCAAAGATGTTTTCGCTCCAAGCAGCCCATGCTCCTCAGGGATAGAGCCCTTTCTTGTGACTTGATTATGACATAGGCAGAAGAACACATGACACAGAGGATTCATGGCAATCTCTGAACCATTTCACCTGCAGGCAAAAAAAAATATTGTTGCTTAAGGACAGGGGTTAAACTGAGGAAGCATTTTAAGGGCACTGAAAAGCTCTTTGAGCCCTAGTCTAATGGCATAAAGGCACCAAACTGATTAAGGATGGTCCTGGTCACTGGTTCCCTCCCTGCATAAGGTGTCTGCATATCTTCTGCTACTGACAACACTTCTCTGGGGCAGAAATCCCCACTGAGAAAAAGGGACAGGCATTAGCCATCAGTGGTTCAGTTACCTGACAGGTTTGGCTCCCGATTCCAGAGGCAGTATCTTGATGTGCTCACTGATGCTACAATGACAAACTTCAAAAAAAACCCTGGACAAACTGGGAAATGCTGGGAAGGAGGCAGGGGTCGTGGTCTACCTGGGTACCACATAAAAAAAAAAAAAGAAGAGATATTCTGAAAGAAGAATGTAGGATGCAAAAGACCAGGACCCACGTCATAAGGCAGCTGGTGAGGAGGCAAAGTCTCAATGTATGACTAAATCAATGCAGTAAGGAAGGGAGGCTCAGGTTACTCAGGGAGTGTAGAAGTTTCTAGAGTAGATTAAGCCTAGCAACGGATGACCAGATTTCCGCCTGAATAGAGAGGGATCTGCATTTCACATCAGGAAGCTCATACAGAAATTTCAAACTGACAAGTAGGAGAAAGCAGAGCAGTGTACACAGAACGCACTGTTCTGAATCCTAGGGTAGACACTACAACGTGAAATAAAGAACAGGATAGAAGTTGACAAAAGTCAAACAGCAAACAAGAGTAGTAAAAAAAAAGTCTGATATGAACAGGGTACAGCAACAGAATTCTTTGAGAAGTTAACGATGGCATAGACCCAGAATGCTTACAAGGATGTGGACACAGCAGGTGTAAAGGAAACACAATGGCAGGAAGGCAATAGAATGTGGAAATCCCAAGGAACTGTTCTTTCCGATTATTTTAATCACTCTGAAGCAAAATGTGAAATCTTCACATCGGCCACTCAGATAACACTAGATCTCTAAATGCTCTGAATAACTTTCAGGAACAGGCAGCTAGGAAGCTTTCCACAAAATGGTAAGCAACCCTTGATTCACTCCTGACCAGAACACACAATTGGTTTATCACATTTCTGCCACATACTTGAACTATACCAAGAGATTCAGCATTTCTACAGACCCCCAAAACCAGAAGATAAACTATAGCCATGCTCAATTTCAAGGACAGGAACAACACAAAAGTAGAAAAATCAATGGACCTAGAAGGGTAACCTTAAAAAAACTGAATGTTTTCTGCAGACAGAGAGACTATTTCAAAACATCATGCTAGTCTGAGCAAAAGTATCCTGCCTGTCAAAGAAAAAAAAATAACAAAATTAAGCCTTGAGAAAACCTAATGCTAAACATAATGGTTCTAAAAAAAACCAAAACCAAAACCCAAGCAAAACCAAAGCAATTGAGAAGAAGAAAACATTCTTCAGAAAAGCTGAAAGAATTAAAAGGTTATAAAGTCAGGCATAAACTGCAAAAAAACTCAACCAAACAAAAAAACTCAAACCCATCTAAAAGTTAGGTAGAAGCATACTGGAACCATCTAGCTGATGTTTCTCAGGAGCAAAGTACCGGTATAAGAAACTGGGGAAAAAGCCAACAACAAAGTGACCAAGATCTGGTGGGATAAAAGGATGGAAAAACTGCACTATCGCCAGAAGACCAAGGGCAAGCTTTCCAAAAGAAAAAGCATTCTGAAAAAAGCTTGGGGAACCTTTGATAACAGAGATGATATACAAAAAGGCCACATTAGTACAAGCAACTAAGTAACAGAAGTAGCAGGTATTTGTATAAACATGCTGTACGGGGTAGAATCATCACAGCTTTTGTAAAACAAAGTGTTGCCTTGCAAACGTGCCTCAGTTCCTGAGCAGGCCAACAGCTTGTGCGTGAGGCAGATCTGATTGATAATATCTGCTCGAATTTCCAAAAGAAATTAAAAACAAGCTCTCACAAAAGCCTCTTAAAAGATCGGAGCTGCCATGGGATATGAAAGCTTGAGATGGAAAATGACTTAAGAGAAGAAATGCAGGAAACAAACAATAATGGTCTTTTATGAAGTCAGATCACTATGTCACAGCAATCTCTGCTATATTCATAAATGGTCTGGGAAAAAACCCAACTCAGGTGACAATCATCCAGTGATAACTGTCTACTTACAACAGTAAAGAGAAAAATTACCACATGCTGCAGAAACATCTCACAATATTCTGATACTATGTAATAAAGCAACAGATGAACTTTGGAATGAAAAAGTATGAAGTGACACACATGTAGAAAAAAGAGCCCTAACCTTACCTACTAAGTGTCAGGTGTTGAGTTGATTATTCTTCTCAGGAATAAGACTGAGGCAGAGTCTCCTATGAGAATATCAACTTGGAAGCAATAAAAAACCCCAAGAGGAACGCTAGAAATCACTTGTAATGTGAACAGAAAAGCAGAAGGGGAACAAACCTATATCACAACCTTAATCCACATTATGGATATATCCTGAATACTGCATTAAATTCTGCTCCATTTGCCCATCTCAAAGCCATACAGAGAAACTGTCAAAGGTCCCAAAAGAAGCAGCAGAGCTGATCAAAGGAATGAAGCAGCTTCTGTGCACAGGATGCCTGAATAAACGAGGATTCAGCAACCTGCTAAAGGTATGAAGTAAGGGATAGGGATCTAGAGACTAATGTGCGGAGTAGTGAAAGTCAACAAGAAAACACTACTTACTCTTTCTTCTCATACAATAACTAGGGGACTTCAAACAAGAGTGACAGGTTTAAAATAAGCCCAAGAACATGGACACTGGGATGACATCAGCTCATCAGCGATTGATGATCCGAGCATGCTCATCTTTTCTCCTTTGAAGTTGTCTGGTTACCAATTCACCTGCCAAGAAAACAAAACATACTTTATTTACAACAATCTTAAATTAATATTAGGCTAGAAAACTCCTGAGAGGACATTTACATTTACAAAGATTCTTGCCAAACAAATTGCTTAGCTCTTTTTTTGAGACAATAGCTCTACTGTTCCAGTGCTGCCACCCCAAACACAGAACAAGGTAGTCAGCCTTCTTGAATAGAAAAGCTGAAGGAAACTCAGGCTACACCTCTATAGTCACAAGTTTAAGAGTCTAGTCCCCAGTGCAGGACACTGATTTTTTCACAGTTGTGATCTGCAGACACATTTGGGAACGAAAGGAAGGCTGCCTACAGGCTGCACAAGTTGGAAAGGAAAAGCCTATGCCTGTATAATTACAATCTCGAAGTCTGCAACGCAGCTGTTGTTATTCATTACAAACGCAAGCCCAAATTTCACAATTTATGGTTTTTGTCATGGTTACTTATGACTATCTTACAATATAGTAGTGTGTGGTTTGACCCTGGCCAGAGGCCAGGTGTCACACAGCTGCTCTGTCATCCTCCCTTCTCTGCTAGAGAGGGGAAGAAAATATATCGAAGGGCCCGTGGTTTGAGATAAGGACAGGGAGATCAGTC